CTAGTGTTAATAGAACAATGTGAAAACCATGCTTTTGCACAATACGCAGCGAAAATTGACATGGTAAAGAAAAAAAGTATTTTTGAAAAGGGAAAATTAAGCATTCTTAAAAAACACCCCATGGAAAAAAGCACCTTCAAGGGCTTTTAAAATATGAAAATAAGCACTTTTTAAAAATGCTACAGGCCATGTTATTCAACTAAAAAAATTTTTATTCAATTTGAAATAAAACACTCATTAGTAAAAACAAATCGATGTGCAACACAACAATACAAGTAACCATGAAATTGCCTAAACTGATTTCCTAGAAAGAGAGTTCATTTTGTTAGAATTGTGAACTTAGAGAGAGGAAGACTGTGAGGATATTTAGAATAGAGTAGAAAAAATACAAAGTATAAAACCTGGGTGAATAAAACAAACAAAGCAAGTACATCTACATTCCCTTTTTTTCATTATTATAATAACAAATTGTTAAACTGACTTACATTGGGTTTTTATTATTATGCCTATTTGAAGTATAAGTTATGAGATTGTTGAAAAAGTGCTTCAGCATTTTATGTTCTTTCTCTGCCCACCTAAAGAAAACAAAATTTGATTAAAGTTTTGAAGTTCGAAATACAGAAATTGGAAAACACAGTGGTTAAACTTATTTCTTGAATCAATCAAAATTTTTCAACAAAAAGTCAAATATAAATAGTGCAAAGTTACCAAGTCAGGGTTTCCAGTCAAATCTGAAAAAAAAATTCCTTGTGTTTTCCATGTACATACTATACACAATATATTAAGAGGAAACAACAATTACTGCGCTCTTGTGTGAGATATATTTGGCTAACTATATTTATTAGCTTTAATCGCTAGAAAAACAGCTGAACATAAAGTTATAGTAAATTAAAGTTTAGTATAGCTGAAATATCATGGTTAAATGTCCCATAGATTACGCTTTGAGTGGTCACCATTTTTTAAAAGACAAAAATAAAAAACAAAATTCCCTGCATTTTCCGTTATTTTAGGTGATTTTTAAATTCCCTGTATTTTGCAGGTTGTCTCTGCTCTCCTCGTGGAGTGGCAACCCTGCAAGTACAATTTAAAGGTAGTTGTCATCCACAACCAACATTAACTATACCTGTATTGACTGATGACATAAGGCATCTATATGCCGGAATACATGCGCGTTTGCTTGCATTCAAAATTTTGGTGGTTACATCGGTTATTAATGTACCACTATTTCATATTTAAAATGGTTTTTCTCTAGATTGCCTAAACTTGTGATCTTGAAACTTGGATAAATTAAATGTTACTATGACAAACGCATTGCCATAATTTCATTACTCTACAAAATAATTTTTCTCTGTGCAGATATTTTTTTTACATCAGTGTATATACACCCTTGTGCAAATTAATTGAAACAAACTTTTTTTTCGTGTTTTTTAAAGAAGATGTTTTGGGGTTGTTTCGGTTACAATGGGGTTGGACCTTTGCAGCCTATTGACGGTATGATGCGTTCTGAACAGTACATTACTATTCTGGGTAAAAAAGTTGTTCCAGAGTTGAAGAAACGATACCCTGATGGAACAGGGATTTTTCAACAGGATTTAGCTCCTTGCCATACGTCCAAAATTGTCAAGAAATTCATGTCTGAGAATCAAATTGAGACATTGGAATGGCCAGGGAACTCTCCGGATATCAACCCAATTGAGAATCTCTGGGCCATATGCAAGAATCGCCTATTAAATATGGACTGTACAACTATGGAGAAGCTAATCACGGCGTTAATTCATGTGTGGTACAAGGACACAAATATTATAAATGACTGTAAAAAATTAGTGGAATCCATGCCGAATCGTGTCCAAATGTTAATAAAGTGTCGTGGAGATCATATTATGTACTAAAAATTTTTGAGTTTGTATAAATTTAAATAAAATAGCATTTTCTCTTAGTTTTCTGAATTTATTGAGTTTGTTTCAATTAATTTGCACAAGGGTGTACATATACTTCTTTACATACAGCTGTAAATATGTTCTTTTTTCTACCTGATTTCCATTTTTCAATCTCTAGTACAGCATCCAAGATTTCTTTTAATTAGAAAAGGCTTTATACCATTTTATTTGTGCAATATAAGAGCAACTTTTTAAACTATTGCTTTATTTTATTTTTTATTTTTTTAACATTGTATAACGGCACACCCTAATACTTAAAGGCAAATTTTTATGTTTTTAAGTATTTATTTAAATCATTTTATGACTTATCTGTTTTACTATTGCAGCCATGTTTAACTGGTAAGTTTGAAGATATATTAAATGATTTGTACAAGTCAAAACTCTATAAGATGCTCTTGCATTTCAAGGTTCATTTTATAAAGATCTATGTATGTACTATGGGTATTGCGGTAATTATATGTGCTATGATAATAGGTATTTCATGACTCCTGAAAGGACAGTGTGACAGAATTTTTTCTAGCTATCTGCGACTTTCTGCAAGATACTTTTAATAATAACAGACATATATGTCACTAACTTAAAATAACAGAAGAAAAACTATATAATTTTTTCAAAATTAAACATGTAACAATTTTTTCATTCTGATATTATGGGTGATACTCTCGCATATTGTTGGGGGGGGGGGAAGCACAAATCACTTCCTTCTCCACATTTTGTAAATAATTATTACAATAAAAAAATCATGAAAAAATCATGAAGTAATTGGTGAAAAGGAGCGGCGAGAAAATCATGCGAATCGGACTCCTCAAATGTGNTATCTAGCACTAATATCTTTCTGCAAGATACTTTTAATAATAACAAACATATATGTCACTAACTTAAAATAACAGAAGAAAAAGTATACAATTTTTTCATTCTGATATTATGGGTGATACTCTCGCATATTGTTGGGGGGGGGGAAAGCACAAATCATTTCCTTCTCCACATTTTGTAAATAATTATTACAATAAAAAATCATGAAAAAACTAATGGAAGTAATTGGTGTAAAGGATCGGCTACAAAATCATGCGAATCGGACTCCTCAAAAAACTCAGATGAGTGTTTTGTTTCGGTTGTTGTAATAAATAATGATGTATAAAAATATCTGATTTAGAAACTATGGAGAAATCAATAACTGTCAAAATTTGGATGGAATCATTGTCTTAAAAAGTAAATACTCAAACGCACGATTCTAATCTTTCATATTGTTTGAAATATATCGCGATATTTAAAAATCAGGTGAAAATCGATATCAATAACTGCCGAAAATACAATGGAAACAATACATCGATTTACGATACTACCGGTGCGAATCGCGTGCCAAAAAGGGATTACCTAAATGCATGATTCAAATATCACGTGTAAATTTCTACTGAAAAGAAATCTGAACTTCTTTTATTTTTAATATTTCTCATAATAAAAATACAAACGAAGTTTTCTGCAAGAAACTCTGTAACGTTCTGCGACAATGTCATTGTGATTCTGCCATGGAGTGAAAGGATAAGTGTTGAATGAATTTCTATAATCACCAAATTTGAATATTTGTGAAAAATCAATTTACATAGCAAAATGTTTAAGAAGCTTACAATGTCACTGAATGAGTATCACTGCTTCCTCTGAATTGCTGGAAGGATGAGAACAGCTTAGGTAATAAACGCATAGACATGATGACTGATCTAATGAGAAAATAAAAAGGTTAAGGAAAGGTTGAAAAAACTAATCATTCATTTTATGAACTATCAACTGAATAAATTTTTACCTATTATTTGCTATATTTTGTAGGCAGCCTTCTATGAATTTCATTCTTATCATTTTGTCAGAACACCAACAAACGAGACTGCATATTAATTTTTTCTGCTTCAACTGCAAGACTCTCACTTAGCTGACCCTAAGAAAAAAAAGAATTTAAGTCTGGATGAACTCAAAATCGTGTGAAACTTAGAAAGGTACTTGAAATTTAAATATTCAAAGAAACTGAATTTTTAAATTAGGAAATATTCATGCAAAAAGTGTTTTTGAGTTCTCGAAATTGTTCTAAAATTTTAACCTAAAACGGCAATTTTTATATAAATATACGTTTGAATTCCACATATGTTTGTCTAAAGGAAGAGTTGTGTAATTTGTAAAAGACTGTTTTAATTTGTGTATATTCTCATTCAACTGATAATAAAAGATAATTGAAAAGTAGCTTCAAAATTTTATGGCAATTAAAAACTTTTGCTAAAAAAAATTTTTTACTTCAAAAAGTACTTTGAACTTAACACTTACGAAATTAATAATGTATCTTTTTCATAGCTAACAACACAGATAGGAAAAAATCCAGTAGATTTTACGAAATAAAATAAATTTTATGATAATTGTTGCTTAATATACTAAATATTTTACAGATAGGGAATTTTAGGGATCTTTATGGTCATCAAAAGTATAAAACATGCAACATTTTGCAGTCATGATTGCCATTAAATATGCTTGAAATGTTTTGTATTATGTTTACTCATAATTTTGAATATTAATAGGAATTATAGTTAAAAGATCAAATATAGTTAAAAGAATTTTTTTAATTAATTTAAAAAAGTTCTGAATAAAATTAAACTGAACAATTTAGAACAAAAAATAAGTTTAAAACTGATATCGATAAATGAGGCTAGATTCGTTTTAAATATTCAAGCAAGCAAAAATCAGTGCAAATTTTTTACTTTAATAGGGATTTTTAGGAAACTCACTCAATAGGGATTTTTTTCGGAAACTATCACTTTAGCGAATTTTTTAAAATGTACAAAATCCAGGAGAAACTAGCAAAATCCAGTAGTCTACTTTTAATCTTTTGTTTACAACTAGTTCA